CTCAAAAAAAAAAAAAAAAAATTAGCCAGGCATGGTGGCGCTTGCCTGTAGTTCCAGTTACTTGGAAGGCTGAGGAGAAGGATCGCCTGAGCCCAACAGGTCGAGGCTGCAGTAACCGGGAGCGTGCCACTGCCCTCCAGCCTGGGTGACAGAGTGAGACTCCTACTCAAAAAATAAAAAAATAAAAAAGCCATGTGATTAGGTGATATGAAAATAGCATTTATTTTCACTTGCTTCTCCATTGAGTTCCTCTGTGTATGAACCTAGCCAGGCCCCTCTCTCCTAGAGATGCCCACCCCAGTGTGATTTTTGCTTACTCCTTCTACCTCAGTAGACCCACCTCTTCCATATCAGGAGGAGATGACCTTCCGATCAAAGCAGAGGGAGGGTGAATGACAGCTTTGGTCTGTCCCTCCCCCTGCCTTAGTGCTCAGGACCCCAGGGAGAAGAGTGGGCAGCCTGAGTCGGGAGCAGCGCAGGAAGTCGGCCATTTGGGAGGCGGTCGGGGAGGCTGCGAGGGGGACACCTTTCCTGCCTCACTTTTCCTTCCGGTCGGCCATTCTGAAAGTAGGAGACACAGACGATGTTCTGCTGGTTTCCTGTCTGTCCTCTCAGCCTTCTCTCAGCCCCAAGTTCTCTCAGGGCTCCAGCTCATCGGCTTTTGTGGATCTCTCTTTTTTTTGAGTCTGGAGTCTCACTCTGTCGCCCCACATGTGCCCCCTGCCTGCTGTTTTCCCCCCTCTAGGACAGCCAGCTCCCCTGACGGGCCACGACCATCCAGAACCGGAGCCTTGGAACCCAGCCCTGCACTGCCAACAGGGCCGGCCCCGCGGGGGCTGGAGCCACCGGTTGGATGGCTTCCCCCCTGGGCGGCCTTCTCCAGACAACCTGAACCAGATCTGCCTCCCTAACCGTCAGCACGTGGTGTACGGCCCCTGGAACCTGCCGCAGTCTGGCTTCTCCCACTTGACTCGTCAGGGTGAGACCCTCAATTTCCTGGAGACTGGATATTCCCGTTGCTGCCGCTGCCGCAGCCTCTCAAATCGCCTAGAGTGTGCGAAGCTCGTGGTAAGAGTTGCGCTCTTCATGTCAGTGCTGTTCTTTAACCCCTAGACAGGGGTGTGTGTGTGTGTGTGTGTGTGTGTGTGTGTGTGTGTGTGTGGTCTAGAGGCCCGGGGTGTGTGTGTGTGTGTGTGTGTGTGTGTGTGTGTGTATGTGTGTGTGGTCTAGAGGCCCGGGAGTGAGTGTGTGTGTGTGTGTGTGTGTGTGTGTGTGTGTGTGTGTGTGGTCTAGAGGCCCGGGAGTGGAGAACCTCAAGTCCCTTTCATGTCAGTGCTGTTCTTTAACCCCTAGACAGGGTGTATGGGTGGGGGGGGTCTAGAGGCCCGGGAGTGGAGAACCTCAAGTCCCTTTCCTGACCCTATCCTGGGTCCCCCACGTGCACCAGAAGAGCAGAGGACAGCCGCTGCTTCTTTCTTATCTGCTTGCCCAGGGTCCTTTCCTGGAGCCTGGGAGGAAGGCAGGAATGTGGACAGTGGCTGCTGGGCTGACCCACCCCTCTTGCTCTAGTGGGAGGACACAATGAACCGGTTCTGTGAGGCCGAGTTCTCAGTCAAGACCCGACCCCACTGGTGCTGCAGACAGCAGGGGGAGGTTCGATTCTCCTGCTTCCAGGAGGAAGCTCCCCGGCCACACTACCACCTCCGGGCCTGCCCCAACCACCAGTCTGGTATTTCCTCGGGCCCCGAGCTGCCTTTTCCCCCTGGGGTGCCCACATTGGACAATGTCAAGAACATCTGCCACCTGAGACGCTTCCGCTCGGTGCCACGCAATCTCCCGGCTACCGACCCCATCCAAAGGCAGCTGCAGGCTCTGACCCGGCTGGAGGGCGAGTTCCAGCGCTGCTGCCGCCAGGGGAACAACCACACCTGTACATGGAAGGCCGTAAGTGGGCGACCCAGCCTCCCCAAGGGCCTGTGTGCCTGCCTGCCCGCCTTCGACCTCTGATCCTGCCGGTCCATCCGTCCGCGTACCTCCCTGTTGTGAGCACATCCGCCTGTTCGTCTGTTTGTGGCTGTCCGTCCATCCGCTGTGTTCATCATGAGTCTGTTCGTCTTGAGCCTTCACACTGCACTCCCGGCCTCATCGCCCATGACCCCAACACGCACCTGTCTGCCATCCTTCCGTCCGCCCGTCCGGCTCTGGCCCCACCTGACCCTGTCCATCCGCTGTTCCTGCTCATCTCCCATGGCCAATGTGGAGACTCATCGGGGCTTCCAGCTTCCGCCTTCCCAACCCCACACACCCATAGCTGCCTCCTTGGCCTCTGATTCTTTGCCCTCCCCTTTTGGCCCCTGGAACTGGGAGCCCCTCACCTCGTAGCCTGGGACAATAAGGAAAGTCGGGAGAGAAATGACCAAGTGTCCAGGCTTCTGACTTCCCTCTCTGGCCCACAGTGGGAGGACACCCTTGACCAGTACTGTGACCGGGAGCATGCCGTCAAGACCCACCACCACCTGTGTTGCCACTACCCGCCTAGCCCTGCTCGCGATGAGTGCTTTGCCCACCTGGCTCCCTACCCCAACTATGACCGGGACATCTTGACCGTCGACATCAGCCGCGTCACCCCCAACCTCATGGACCAACTCTGTGGAAACCAAAGGGTTCTCACCAAGCAGTGAGTCTTGCCCGGTCCTCCCCCACTCACTTGCTTTCCCAAAACCTCCCTTCTGGGGTGCCCTTGGGAAGGGCAGAGTTGGGGTCTCCCAGCACCACTTTGATGCCAGAGGATGCCCAATGACCCTAACCCCTGACCCTTTCACACCAACATAGTAAGCAGATTCCTGGGCTGATCCACAACATGACTGCCCGCTGCTGTGACCTGCCGTTTGCAGAACAGGCCTGCTGTGCAGAGGATGAGGTGAGTGTGTGTGTGTGAGGGGCACAGTCTCCAGAGGAAAGGGAGAGCTAGAACTGCAGGCAATGCTTCTCTTTAGCACCTCAACCCAGCCCTCAGAAACAGTGAGGATTGGCTGGGCACTTTGGGAGGCCAAGGCAGGAGGATCACTTGACAAGGTGTTTAAGACCAGCCTGGGCAACATAGCAAGATCCTGTCTCTATAAAATAAAAAATTAGCCAGGTGCGGTGGCTCACACCTATAATCCCAGCACTTTGGGAGGCTGAGGCAAGAGGATTGCCTGAGCCCATGGGTTCGAGACCAGCTTGGACAACATGGTGAGACTTCATCTCTACAACAAATTAAAAAAAAAATTAGCCAGGTTGGTGGTGTGTACCTGTGGTTCCAGCTACTTGGAAGGCTGAGGCAGAAGGATCGCCTGAGCCGAGCAGGTCGAGGCTGTGATGGTCATGAGCATCCCACTGCCCTCCAGCCTGAGCAACAGAGTGAGACTCCAACTCAAAATATAAAAATAAATAAATAAAAATCAAAAATTAGCTTGAGCCTGGGAATTCGAGGCTGCAGTGAGCTAGGAGCATGCCACTACACTCCAGCTTGGGTGACAAAGCAAGACCTTGTCTCTTTTTTTTTTTTTTTTGAGTTGGA